ACACCCGCTGTGTGCTCCTTGTCATGATCGGGAAATAACGGGAAAATCCGTCGTCTATTCAGTGTATAAATATTGGCTAACAATTAGTATGAACAACGCCAGTCAGTATTCCTCTTCTCTCGCTTTGTTTTGTTTTATGTGACTTTTTAGCTTGATTGCTGTTCGACCGTTATTTCAATATATTTCAATTTAGCCTGGCTGAATCGTATAGCATATAGAGATTGAATGAATCATTTTTTTTTTGTTGGGAGATAGGGGCTTATATCGAGCTCCTACAAGTGCCTACTTCACGCGCTACTATACGGATTGAATGCAATGGTGTAATTGATAGAGGATATTCAATGCTTTGTAGTTGAATATGGAATTTATTTCACGAGTGGGACAGGATTTTTAAGAATATTTTCACGATGTCGAAGCACGAGTGAAAATATATAAAAAATCCTGTCTCACGAGTGTTCTATTTATTATATTTTCTTTTCAATTTTTGTTCATTACACTTTCTCTGATTTTTCCTTTGCCTCCGTCTTTTTGTGATTCAGTTATAGGCTACATGACGTCATAATTGAGAGGTTGAGACTTCATAGGTATGTGAGGTGAAAACATTGTAAACATAGATTTTAGCAACATTTTGGATAACTTCGGCAGTTTTATTCTCTGTCAGAATGATTTATTTACTTCTATCTTTCTTAAATCAGGTCAAGGAAGATTTTTTTTACAACACTCTCCGTTATGGGAAGGAAAATCAAGAGTTTTACCAAACCTCTGATATTTGTCGCACTGCGAAAGGATATCATTTTGATATCCTGTCACACTGTGACAGAACATCATTTTTATTCAATGAATAGACTACAGTATTTCACTGGTAAAAATGTAATGAATAAAATTATTCTGCGCTAAGTGCAACGAGTAAAGTAGCCTTTAGTTCTACAAGCAGTGAACATCTCTTTAGTATCCAATTGCGCCTCTCCCAAAAATTTTCAAATAGGGAATTACTGAATCCTAGAATCTTTTCATAAAAGATACAAGGCGAACATAATGCCTACCTATCTTGTTAGATGTTGGTAAATCCACTTTTCCAAGTTCAATGAGGTGGATGGATGTTCATGGTTGCATGATGCAAACTTATGTAAAGATTATACAACGATCATTTTCTCTTTGGCTGAAAACATAACAATATTTTGTGGATTAAGCAAATGTAATATCTTGAATAAAGAAGAAGTGTAAACAAAAGATTTTTATAAAAATGATACTTAGAATTTCATACTAATTGTTAGGACATTATTTGGACACTGAATTGATGACGGATTTTCCCGTCATTTTCCAATCATGACAAAGAGCAAACAAATACAATCTATCATTACGTCAATACCCAAAGTTTTCATTTTTTATTGTTAGTTAGCGTTCAATGAGATACCGGTAATCACTTCAAATCTCTTGAACTACTTTAACAGGTAATAAAAAAAATATTGAATATTGAATGTCCATCAGTTTGAATCACCATTTTCACTTTATTTTATTGAAGGCCAGCATATTTGTTAGGACAAAACATAACGCAAGTTAGTTTAGAAAATTCATGCCTGACCAAATAATAATTATGCATCAATTAAAGTTTTTTTTCTGTAAATCGAACCAGATTAAGTTGTGACTGATCGGCATGGAATGCTTAATTCTCAAGGGCACCTGATCCACCTCTAGAAAAAGTTTATTTTTTAATGTTTAAATGACTTATATGATTAATCACTGTTTCTTATCTTTTTATGCAAAAAGTGTATTTTTATCATGTATATTATGTGTTTATACATCTTTCTGCTAAAAAGATAGAAGAAAAATCTCAGATAAAGTAGCCATCTTTATTTGTCTGTTTTTGAGGCGATACAAAGCACGTTCTGTATCAAGATAAATTGGGATTATTACATAATACCAACTCAATCGTAAAGTATCGATCGTATTTTACAGAGAAGTTGTGATGAAATAACATTGCTATATAACATAAATGTCTATATTGAGATCTTTTTAATTTAAACTTTTAACCCAATTAATATAATTCTTACTTATAAACAAATTATAATATACTGAACAACAGCTGTACATTGTATTTTGAAATATATTTGTTTGCATGCATACACTTCTTAAGAATGGGAATTATCGCTAATTAAAATTGATTTTTTTTTCGTTTATTTTTAAATACGTTAAACCTAACTATGTGCACTGTATTGTGTACAGAACATTTTTGCGGTCAAAGTTAATTGTATATTAAATTGATGTGGATTGATTATAAATCTGCCTCTTTCAGCTCACAAATGTTTGAGAAAATGGATTGGAAATTGGGTTAATAGTTTATATTACAATTCAGATATAAAGTTTAAACAAATATTATATGCTTTTGGCGTAGGAATTATATAATACAAGAAATAATAGCCGAAATATGCCGTTAGTCGAAGGCTTTTACCATGCTTGGATCTGTAGTTTTCTGTTTGTCTGTCGGAATTTTCTCAAACGAGAATTACAGTTCTACAGCTTTATCTCTGCATAAATGACTTTTAAAGGACTGTCTGTTATGAAAGATTGAAAATAAAATCATCGTTTTGTGGAAATATGGATATTTTAAATCATTTCTTTCTTGAATTTATCGTTCAACGGTCCCGATAAGCATGTCACCAACACTTTATGCCGGGGTATATAATGATACTTATTTGTTAATGCATAAAGTAAAAGTGTACTAGAATTTCATCTGTTCGAAGTATATATGATAAAAATTTCTAAAACAATGAAGTATTAAAAATTTTATAAAGATATCTGACTTTGTCTATTTTTGTTTGATTAACATTTTTCCCCACCAATTTAGTCCACAATAATTAAAATAAGAATTGGGGGACGAAGTATTTCAGCAAGATTGGTCAACGAAAGCTCGTTAAGAAGCAGAGAAGAAATCAATTTCTTTGGTTTGACTTTAGTGGGTTTTATGCAATATTTTTGCTACAATCAGCTTGGACTTTCAGTAATTGTTGGGAAATAATAAAAATAAATAGCATGTTGCTTAACTCATTGTTTGCCAAGAAAAGAATTATAGTTAGAGAAGGACTCGATAAATTGATTTGCTACAAATCGAGAAAGTATAAATAACCAAAAGTCAATTTCATATTTTTTTTTACACAAACTGTTTGACGACACAATTAGCTGAAAGGTTATTTTCTACAAAGTGGGTTTACTATTTGAAGTTAAAGGTATCTTACTTTTTTTGATTATGCTGATTACAATAACTAAAATAAATTGCATCTTTAAACAGATGTGAAATTTTGCCGGAAATTTTTAAGGAACAATTGAATTGTTATTGAAAGTCTGTTTTCTTCATAACGGTTGATTTGATTAATTTTTTTTATTATATGTGTTGAGAAATACTATATAAAATGAATTACAAGCACTTTCGGCACTTTCTTGTGTTTCAGTATCTTCCAATCTTAAAGGGATTTTGTAGATGGATCATTTATGTGCTCTGTGGATTCTTACGTTGATTGGAGTCTGTAAAGGTAAGTTTTATTCCTATTGATGATGTATACACTTCTTGCAAACGATTATTTATGATATTCATATTTGATATAATTTGTACGTAGTTATATGAAATATGGATATTAACAAATACTAATCAAGCTTGAAAGTCATCTAAACAAAACAAACCGAACATAAAGTAAACGGACCAGTAAGAACGGCATATATAAGGGGTATCAGTGCCATGAAAGAGTCACCAGGAAGGTTACTTTAAAAACCCAAGTAACATTTCCAAAATCGGCCGTTAGCTGACGGTTTGTGAAGCAAAAATAGGATTATGTGGCAGCCAGCATTTCACCAGCCGTTGTCTTGTCCGACTTTGCTGGTTTTTCGAAAATGTTGACTGACGGTGAAAATCAAACTGTGATTCATCACTCTATGAATGGGTTACGGGTTTCAGAAGTATTGATATCTTATTAACTTTATTCAGTCATGGGTGTTTTCTAGGAATGAAATATATGGAGATAACGAATAGTAATCAAGCTAGAAGTCCATTGAATAATTCAAAATAGGAGCAGAACTAACACGGACCTCTTAAACATCAACTATGGGATTTGATTTGATTTGAACATATTTTATTATGTAACAAATACATAATTGAATTTGGCAGCAGGCATAGCCTATATAAGCCCTCTCCATAGGTACAAGGTTAATTAATACACATAGTAACAGGTTTATATATGACCAATAAGATATATATAACTAACACAAATTTGAATGGATTATAGGGGAAAGAAAAATACATGAGTGATGAGAGAAAAGAAAGAAAGAAAAAAACCCAAAGAAAACAACAAATGAATACCGGTTTATAAATGTGAAAATGAAAGGAAAAATGAGAACTACAGCATTTATAAACATACAATGAATGTGTATTTGAGTTAGGCAAGAAGGGGAATAAATATTTCGTTTACACTTCATTTATGAAACCTTTTGGTTTGTGTTATATATTTGTGAACACTATCAAATAATTTCAAATTTTTTGCATAAGAAATATTACTATCACCAAATAATAAAAGATTTAGGGATATAGGAATAGGATGTTGCAGATCTATACTAGATATACAATTTAAAAGAATGTTTCTTTGCTCAACATAACATGGGCATTCAAAGAAAAAATGATATGCATTTTCCGTATGAAAATCACAGTTTTCACATTTTGAACTATCACTAATATAATCTTTCCGTAAATCACCATTTCAGCTACTAGCATTATTTCTTAACTGACAATGAATAATATTTTGACTACGATTTCCATGATTAAAAAGCTTATTAGGTGTTCTATAATGAGTCTTTTTAATGACATTGGTGAAAGAAGATAGTGTTTGGTAAACTCCTAATATGGTATGGTAAACTATTCCATAATTTAATAGTAGATGGAAAATAACTATTCATGTATGATGTAGTCCTCGTTTGAGGAATAAGAAAAGTAAGACCATCATTGTTTCTTAATGAATATGAGGTTTGGGGTGGAATACCGGGTCTTAAAGGATCTTGAAGGTACTGTGGCGCTAACCCATACACGATTTTATAAAATGATATTAATTTATGTACTTTCCTTCTTTCAGATAATGTATTCCAACCCAGTTCATCATATAAAAGTGTTCTTGATGAGTTTACTCTCATTCCTGTAATAATTCTTGCAGCAGTAATTTGAACTTCTTCCAATAAAGAGGATTCCTTTTCATTACAATTATGATGAATTATCCCAAACAACATCACCATATTCTAAAACTGGTCTAATAAATGATATATATATTTTTATAAGCGCATCTCGACAAAGGGAATGTTTCAACATTCGTAGAACATTTAAACGTTTACATGCTTTCTCATAAGTATTTTGTATGTGAGATTTCCAGTTGGCATCACACTGAAAATTTAGTCCCAAATGTGTGTGATTGTTCCATGGTTCAATCACTGGACCATTTAAACCAAATTTAACATTGGGATGAGAAAAATGTTTTCTGGAAAAATTTACATTCACTGTTTTCTTGGGGTTAAAATCAACTTTCCATTGCTTTGACCACTGATCGAACTTTTCTAAATCATTTGTTAATGAGTTTGCAGCACTGACAATGTCATTGTCAACAAAAATGTAGAGTGAAGTATCATCAGCATATAAGCGGACATTATTTGTTAAATTTGAAGAAATATCATTAATATATAATAAGAATAAGAAAGGACCTAGGACAGATCCTTGGAGGACACCTGCACTAGTTGGTCTAAGAGTTGATGTATAACCATCAAGGACCACCCTTTGTCTTCTGTTTACTAAGTAGTTTTTGACCCAATTTAAGATTTGATCTGGTATTCCAATTTCCTTCAATTTAAATATAATTCCTTCATGCCAGACCCTATCAAAAGCTTTAGAAATATCACAAAACACAAACGGTACATTCCGGCCTTTATCAAGATTGGATATAATAGTATTATAGATTTCCACCAACTGATTACTGGTTGAGTCACCAGTTTGAATAGCAGACTGGAACTTATATAGTATATCATTCTCAAGTATATAGTTGTGCAGGTACTTGACAATAATTTTTTCTAATAATTTGCAAACAACAGATGTTTCTGATATTGTTCTATAGTTATTAGTTATCATCTGCATTTCCTTTATTTTTATAAACAAGAGTATCTTTATAAACAGGAGTAACTTGAGCAATTTTCCAAATACTAGGAAGTGTTCCATTGTTTAGTGATATATTAAATAATTTTGTCAGTGGTTTGTAGATTGACTGTGCAGTGTATTTTCAAATTTGAGGTGAGACACCATCAGGACCTGATGGCTTACATATATTGATGATTTGTAACTGGTCCAAGACTTCATTATCCGTAATTCTAAATTTTTCCATATGGTGTAAGGGGGGACCTTGTCCTTGGGGTGGTAAATCAGGTTCATCATTAATGCAAGAGATATCTGTAAAGAATTTGTTTATGGCATTGGCCTTGTCTATGGGATGAAACAGTGTTTGACCATCAACCTTAAGAGGAGGTGTTGGCTTATGTTTATTGTTTAGTTTGGATAATGATTTCACTATTCTCCACCATTTACCAGGTGGTATTGTTTTATTTATCTGCTCTGTAAGTTTTTTGTTATAATTTTGCCGCGAAATTCTAATTTCATCAATGACCTGATTTCGTAGGTATCTATACTTTTCCCAGTGAAGTGGATTTTTTGATTTGACAGCTTTACGATGAATTCGATTGTACTATTCATAAATACTTTGTCCTTTGGTCGTATTGTAATTACTTTTTTAGGGATGTGTTTATCTATGCCTTTGGTTATTACTTCTGTAAAATTAGAGTACATTTCATCTACATCAATAGTATCAAAAACTTCTGAATCCCAATTTATATTTTCTAAATCATTATTGAGGTTATTGTAATCAGCATTACTGTAATCAAGAATTTCTCTCTTGTATGCATATTGTTTGTGTATATTGAATTTTAGGTCCAGTCCAACAAGGGAATGTGAACTACAAAATGGGGCAGAAACAAATGTACTATCAACCAAAGCTGGATTGCTAGTAATAATTAAATCTATACAAGTACCCTCTGTTGTTGAAAAATTGGTTGGACAATTGATTAAATTTGTTGAATTTAATTTTTGTAGCATGAATTTGAAACTGTTACTTTGATTTGACAGAACATTAACATTAAAATCTCCTAATAGGAATATTGGGAGATTACATTCAAGTGCCTTGTCCAAATTTGAGCAAAATAAGTCCCAATAGCTAGCCAGTGAAGATGGGGGCCTATAAAGTACAGCTAATAACATTTTTTTTGTTGCCATTATGTATTTCTGACCAAAGAATTTCTAGTCCATCAATTGACAAATCATTTCGAAAATGGTAAGCTAATTGGTCCGAGATGTACATAGCAACACCACCGCCATGTCTATTTCTATCCTTACGAATAGGTGGGTGAAATCCTTATGTGATCAGGTGCCAAGAGTGAGCATCCCCTTCCGAATGGTTACACCTGCCGTGTTCTCCTTGTCATGATTGGGAAATAACGGGAAAAAATATTGTGACTGCTCTTTGGCGCCCGATATCTCCGTCGACTAATTATGATTTTTCAACCAATAATACGTGAAAAATGAAGGGAAATAGATGGTAACGCTAGAAATTGACTTGTTGTACAATATTATGACCTCTGAAAACACGGTGTATACCCCAATGATGTGCACGGGAAATAGTGTTGTCCATTATTCATTACTTGAAGGGGTCGCCCGCCTGGCGCAGTGGTTAGAGTGTCTTCCCTAGAGTCGCGAAGTTAGGAGTTGATCCTTACGTCGCGGGATCGAATCCCAATGTGAAACGTAGAGACCGGTCTTCGGATGAGACCGTATAAACCGAGGTCCCGTGTCGCAGTAGGTGCTGGCAGGAAAAAGATCCCCCCTGCTCAATGGCCCTGAGTGCCAAGTATAGGACAAAATTTGCAGCTCGCCATCGGCAAGTGGTGGCGTCTCCATATGAGTGAACAAATCTCCTCCTCAGAGCCATTGACCACCGAGGGATCCTTCTGCAACACAAGGCCTCTGTTTATACGGTCTCATCCGAATGACCGGTCTCCAAGTCCCACAGTGGGATTCAACTCCTTACTACGCGACTCTAGAGCAGATGCTGTAACCACTGCGCCACGCTGGCGACTATTTTGCAAGGTAAAGAGAATGTGGAAATTGCCATTCGATCCATATCACCTACCCTGCCAACTTTCATTGACCATTAAATTTGAAAATAAAAGCCAAAATTCTGCATGTAGAACGTCAGTCAAGATTTGACCTAATGATTAATTGATTGATTACATGTTGTTTAACGTCCCAGTCGTGAAGTTTTCATTCATAATTACGTCATCATAAACCGCTGAATGACTCCAATTTTGCAATGGTAATTTCCATTAATATGTCGATACGATATATCCTGGTGAGCTTGAGATAAGAGATAACACAGAGTGCGACACATTTGTTTCATATTTGGATATTTTACTTTCAGAAGACGTTAATGGTAATCTAACAACCAAGCTCTATGATAAACGTGGTGACTTTAACTTTTCTATCGTCAACTTCCCTTACTTATGCAGTCACCCATTCTCAATATAAGGGCTCAAATGATGTCGCCTCATTTTCATTTAAAAGAAATACCACTGATGTAATTTTTAAATCAACATTATAAATAGTCATATAACAATGAATAAGAATTCATATAATTATCGATCTGAAAGGGTATTTAAGGAGTTCCAAATTCAAATATAGTAGCCTATTTGAAATGTACGTTACTGTCGCCGAGGCAAATATTATTCTGAATCCCCTCTGTGTAATATATAGTTTTGATTCTCAAGTAAAAATTTTCTGATAAGTTAAACCTTGTATCATATATATTTCTTTTCATAACAATAAATACATTTTCTTTGTGATAATAAATAATTTTTATTGTGCAATGTCCCTGTCGCTTAATTCTATTTCAACCACATTACAAGCAAACACAAAGATTATACACCTGATAGTTTTGTTCTCCTTTATTTATTGATGGGCTTAATTTGAAATTTCAAAGGATTAATTACTCCTACTTAGATAATGTAACATGAAATTGAACAACTTGAGCAACTTTTATAAATATGTTTACGGAATGAAAGACATTTTCAATCGTAGAGATAAGAAAGAAATGTACGTTACCTATATTCTTCCATTAAGAATACATATTAAGTAGAAAATATGAGACGACTCTGAATAAGCAACCCCTTGTATCCTGTAAACTGGCAAAGACGTTTTGTTTAACACAATTAAAAATTATTTTTTACATGAAAAGTGATCATTTGAAATGTACGTGACTGAAATGTACGTTACCATGAAATTCGAATTAAATGAATCTCGCACGAATTTTCATGTATTCTAATACCTTCACACACTCGAATGTGTACACAAAGGAAAGTTTCAAAGGTTGGAGGTCGGCTAAATCCCAAAATTAATGAAAAGAAACGTCTCTGCTGAGGAAAAAAATATATTAAGGTCAATTATTATGTAATATAATTTTGATACCTGGTATATATTTCTGAATACGAAACCTGTATGATGCATTTCTTATGATATGCAGGTTCAAATAGTATCAATATATTGCGCGTCTAACGTATGCTTGTGGAAGAGAATTGATTTTTATATTTGAAATGTACGTTACGTATGGTAACGTACATTTTATGTATTTCTAACTGACATTTTTTTTAATTTAGTCAATGAATTGCGTTTACACGAGCGAAACAAAATTATCGTTACAATCCATTTGACAACTGGCCACATCTAAATGCACCCCAATCCTCGTAAATGTTTTAAACTGTTACCACATGCTAGAAAATTTATTTCTAAGTGTCTTAAATTCATCTTTGGCAACCTTTTTGCAGTTTGTTTACTTTTCATGTGCGTTTTCGTTAATATTAATTGAATTGTTGTTGATAATTTAAAACAAGGTATGCATAGGCTTATAATTGGTAAAACAAAACAAAACAAAACAAAAAAGAAAAGAAAAAGAAACAAAACAAATAAACCTAGAACACAAGACTGTCACGTACATTTCAAATACTGAAAGGCACACAATACTCAGTTTTGTTTGAATCATTGCATTTTGGGTTATCTTTTTCCAGATCTGCTGAAAAGCACGTATGTTTGTGTTTTGAAAAACGATGTTGCAACATACTAAATGAAATTGTTCACAAGACTGTCGATGGATATATTCGGAATAGATTTATGTTAAGTTTCAATGGCCAAACACGAACATTTGTTAGATCATAGCAAAATACATCTGACTCTTATATTTTTTGGTCTGTAACCTTGTACACAGTTAGAAGTAACTAGGCTACGACCGGTGTCAATTTCAGCGAAACAGCACAAAAGAATGGTTATGAACTGAGGTGTACGGGACTCCCCAATAATATGTGAAATGAACGTTACCGAAGTGACGTGACATTCATGTAGTTGATGACAATAACCTCGTTTGTTACATTATGATTTCTTATATTACTGCCTTAAAACGTTTCATTGATATGATTTTTATGTCAATAATTGCCTTTTTTTCAATATTTTCTTATTACTAATTTACATATTATTACAAGCTTGAAATGTACGTTACCTACTCATATTCTGAGGCAATCGTGTCTTTATAGTGGTGATTGTGACATATAACACAATGTGATTACATAGAGAATCTTTTTTGGAATAAACTGAAACAAAACGATGAATTTTTAGATGAATTTTAGATGAATTTTAAGCTTTTTATTAAACAGAAATATATCTTGAAATGTACGTTACATTTACATAGTTTTCTAAATCGGCATGGATATATGTTAAAAAAGACAGTAACTACAAAATAGAATTTTACTACATGTACATGTTAGGTTCCAGTATCTATTAAAAATGACAAGATTCCAAACTGATCGCTCTTAACAAAACAGAGAGAAGAATTTAAAGCATATATTTAAATAATGTTTTTACACATCTGGATCAAAAAGTAACCTTTGTTTTTTGAAAGGAAAAATCAAACGCACGTTCGTATGCCGAGAAAATATGTTGCTGACAGAGTTGGTAGGATGTGCTGGTGTTAAGATGAGATATTCCAATTGTGATTTTAATGACTACATTTTTTTTGACATATTTTTTTAGACATTGAAGAAAGAGTAACGTACATTTCAAGCTACATTTCTGAATAAAATTACCCTCTACTTTATCGTCTTGTCATTATTTCATGTATTATAATTTGATGAAAAAAATCTGGAAACAAAATCTTCAGATACTTTCTTTCAAAGGTAATTGATAGAAAAATTGTTATCTTGAACTTCATTTTTAAAAAAATCAGAGAGGCATTTGTGCCCTTATATTGAGAATGGGTGAGTATCATACCTTCATCGCCTGCATATGGAGTTTATATATCTTATTTGATTCGATTCGCAAGAGCATGCTCTCCGTATGAACAATTTCTAAATTGAGGTAAATTATTGACAAACAAGTTGATGAAACAAGAATATCAGCAAGCTTGTTTAAAGTTATCATTTCGTAAATTCTATGGTCGATACAATGACCTTGTCAGCAAATACGATTTATTATTGAGTCAAATGCTGACTGACGTTTTCCATACTAATTGTAAAACTAGTCCATTATTTACAATGTATACACTGAATTGCGACAGAGTTTCCGTTATTTCCTGATTATGACAAGGAGCACACGGCGGGTGTGACCGGTCGGCAGGAGATGCTAATTCCTCGATAGCACCTGATTCCATCTCTGATGTTTAAGAGATCCGTGTTTGCTCTGCTCCTATTTTGTATTGTTTTATGTACTTTTGATCTTTAATACTGTTTATTATCTCCATATGTTTCACTGACTTAGGTCATTCGTGGCCGATATCTATGACAGATATCTAATTTCCTGTTTTTGTTGAATTTGAAAGGATGTTAATTTTACTGTGAGGTTCTTTTATTTTGCATGTTTATGTTTTCAGACCTTAACCACTTGATATTGTTTTTATACAGGACTCGTAGATTCCCAAAATATTGACAACAACAATTATATTTACGTAGTAAATTTCATTTATGATTTTAGCTTGCACATATATTGATTACGGGTATAATTACAAGGGAACATCGTCCACCTTGCTCTACAGCAAGTCCGGAAGCCTGGATTCCTGCAAGGCAGAGTGCTCTTTGGACAACAATTGTAATGGATTCGGAATGAAGTCTGGAACCTGTCATTTTTCTACTCTTTCTGTCCCTGTATATAGCAGTACCTGCTCTTCATGTTCTTATTACTCAAAGGATGTCTGCAGTACGTATTTATTGATATATCAAATTCCTATCTTCAACAATTCTTTTAAGATTTAAATTGTATCAATTGGACAAACAGACAATCGGAAAGACAGCTAGACGGAAAGACAGACGCCGAGAAAATGACCACAATTTGTGTGGCCTGCAGAGTCAAATCATAACAAATATCCTTTGAAACTTTTATATTTTGCTAGAGTAAAACTATAATTCTAATAATGTATTAAGCCATATTCAGCAATCTGAATTAATTTCTTGAATACTTTTAGCCATAGAGGAGACAACAGTTCAGACCTCACAATCGATGACAGATCAAACGTCACAACCGACAACGGATCCAACGTCGCAACCGACAACAGATCAAACGTCACAACTGACAACGGATCAAACGTCACAACCGACAACGGTTCCAACGTCGCAACCGACAACGGATTCAACATCACAACCGACAACGGATCAAACGTCACAACCGACAACGGATCCAACGTCACAACCGACAACGGATCAAACGTCACAATCAACAACAGATCTAACATCACAACCGACAACGGATCAAACATCACAAGCGACAACAGATCAAACGTCACAACCGACAACGGATCAAATGTCACAACTGACAACGGATCAAACATCGCAGTCTATAACAGGTCAAATGATAACGTTACAACAAACAGATCAAACGTCTCAACCGACAACAGACCAGCCATTTCAACTGACAACTGACCAATCGTTGCATCTGACAATTGAGCAGTACACTACTAATTGGACTGGCCAATTTCAGTGTACATGTACGTGCACTGACAACAGCATCACGATCAAAGAAAAAATCATACAACGTAAAATTGATCTTTATATGGATGAAAAAGAGACATCATCAGCAAAGAACGCACATATCTGTAAAACAGACAATAGGAAGTCCGTAGTTATAATTGGGTCAACAGGAGCGTTTATCCTTGGAGTGCTACTGATGACTATCATACTTCCTGATGTTTTAACAGTCCTGCATTACGTACGCAACCGAATTTATATACTGAGTCATGTCAAAAGAATAAGGAAGAATACTTTATAAGTTTGTTATAATTTTCAATGATTTTTGAATGGGCACAGTTTCAGATCAAAAAAGCAATTGCCGTAAATTAAAAGGTTAAGGAAGAAATTCATGTTCAACAAAAAATAAATCAAATGTGTTACGGACAGATCAAACATCTTTTATTTCAGACTGATAAAAGTTCTTTAAATTATCTCTTTCTTGTCATTTAGAGAAGAGTAAAATTTATAATCGTGGTTGGATGTCGAAGTCCGTTAAGACCAGTTAAAAGAAATAAATATTTTTATTGTGTTTAAACGCAATGCATTGCGTTAAATCGCATTAATCCTTGCAATTAAACGCAAAGCACTTTGTGTTTAATCGCAAAATATTGCAATTAAACGCAATCTTTTGCAATTACACGAAATACTTTTTGCGTTTAAACGCAAAAATATTTTTGCGTTTAATTGCATTAATAATAATATCAGATTAAATGCAATAATTTTTGCGTTTAAACGCAATAATCTTTGTTTTGAAAGGCTATCGTTTCTCTTGATCTATGCAGAGTCCAATGGACTCACAAATAGTGAGATCTTATTTTCTTTCTTTTTCTTCCTAGACTAGTACTTATTAAGAAAATTGTGTATTGCTTAGCTTTAAAGCATCAGATTCTTCTGAACAAGCGCTCGAATGATTAAATCATTGGTGTGGATTTAAAGATGAAAAAAGTGTCGATCTATAAAAACAAAGACAACCTAAGAACTAAACATAGCTTTAACATGTATAATTTTCTTTATTCCTGTTAAAAGTTTGATCAGATCGATGCTTACAAACACACATTACATTTTATCTATTGTTGTTTTTTTTTTTTACTTTGCAACTTTAAATCTTTACAAAAAAATTGAAAGGATTTTTCAGATAAAAGACTAAAGAAGAAAAAATGATTAAAAAACTATCAACCCACTTCGCGATCAGAAAGGATAACCCTCTTCCCCGCATTCACCCATTTTAACGCAAATACCATTTCCTATTTCTAACGCAAAATCACGCATATACCGTTTCCCCGCAATCACGCATTTTCACGCATTTTAAAAAGTTCATTTAATCTTCAATTTATTGCCAAATTCCATCTATTTTATACTTGCTTAAATCTCATAAAATAAGAAAAGTTATTTTATTATTAAAATATTGCGTCATAATATTATTTACGCTAAACTTTAGAGAGACTTATACCGCGCTATAAAGTGCTTGCGGGGAAAAGGTAGCGTCATATTTCTATGACTTGAACATTAAGTGTATGTTGCGTCACAGATCAGTAAGTTGTAAAGAGTTAAACCGTAAATTTACGTGTTTAGGAAACGACTGATGAAATGTTTGAATTATACACATGAAGTATTTTGACTTATGTATATGTATATTCACAAGCTTTCCTTTGGTTACATACAGTAACCACAAGAACATAGGAGATGGAATCAAATTTAATGAGATCAAAATTAAAATCAAATGAAAACAGATTGACCACTGTGTTGTACCAAATTGATATGTGCTATTAATGTCACTGAAACATTCTTAATTAGTTGTAGTACGTAAGCAATTGATCAAAGTCTTCATAATAAGTACTGGGTTCTAATGGGTTTAATACACTCTGGTTGTTGGGACACCTATTGTTTACCTACAATTCTCAGAAACTATACCATTTTGCAAAACGACACAAAACAGAAAAAATAAAACAGTTCTTTAAACACGAGGGGTGATCAAAAAGTTCGCAAACTAATTGAATAACTTCCATACAAGAAACAATATTTGGTTTTAATGTTGATTATATTTTAAATTAATCCTCCCCGATTTTAATGCACATAACCATCGTTCTGCGCATGCGTGAATCACGTGATATTGGCGGTCACGTGACCCCCTCCGTAGCGTTCTGTCACAAAAGTTAAAAGATTTCTCCGAGTTTTATACGTATTTCTTTCCATGTGAGTTAATTTTTATGACAAGAACAGTTAATTTGTCAGAAATGGTCATATCTCGGCAACAGAATGGGTGGATAATAACATCCTTTCCAAAAATAAGCATGGCGACCATTAAAACACAAATCTTCTGTCTCAGGAGAGACCTTTATTCAAGGTGGATAGAGAATGGGTGCATCCTTTTTATCATACATGTATCTACATGTAATATGTTTAAAATCTAAAGTAAACGATATCTTAGGTATTTAATACTTATATCATTGTTCAAATATTCAACTATTTTTCAAAGTGCTAATTGGAGGTCTTTGATAGCAAATTGCTTAATTAAAAATACATATCTTTTCAAACTTGCTTTCACTGGGCAAGATGACAAGTATCATTTTTAACCATCAGCCTTCCTTCACTAAAACGATTAATCCAATCATTAATTGAATTTATAGGAATTCATTTATCTCAATAAACTGTGTACAAATTATTATATGATACAGTAGAGGGATTTCTAAGATATTACAATAAATTGTACAGTCGTTTGTTGAACGAGTTCGACTGAGACAACCATTTTTCGTCACAAGTGACCTAAATAGTGACGTATTTTCACATTGTGACGTCACAAACAAGGAGAGAAACTTTATTCAGCATATGCTATTTATAGACCTTGTGTATGGCTATGTGTGTACCGAATTTCATTCTAATCTGAATTGTGGTTTTGTAGATATAGAGATAGTTTGCGAACTTTTTGATCACCCCTCGTAATCGGATAATAGTATTTATCAAAGTTTTTGGCTAATCGATGTATGATTTCAAACAACAGAACTGTATCATTGTGTTTAAATGCAAAATGAAATTAATTGCAAAGATTATTGTTTTTAAACAAAACGTAAAGGTATCGCGCTGAAATGCAAGAATTTTTGGTTGTAATCGCATTTTCATTGCAATTTATTTAAATAATAAAATGCTTTCTTTGTTTGTAAGTACTGGAATTAATGTTGCAGCTGTTGTAGAAAAAAATATATCAACCGCGTTAGAAAGCATTTTATTGTTTATATTTACATCTGTATTAAAAATCATTCAAAGTAAAATTAAAGTTGTTAACTTTTGTTTTTAAGATGAATATGTCATTTTATGAAAAACTGGTGGAACAGCCATTGTCCAAGAAAACCAGACACGTGGCTTGCTCAGCGTTGTTCATGCACTGATTAATGGCAATGGTCTCCATAAGAAATAAAGGAAAAGATATTCAGTGGATGTAAATGTATTATTGTGTTTAAACGCCAAAATTACTGCGTATTGCGTTTCATCGCAAAATTATTGCGTTTAAACGCAATATTTTGCGATTAAACAAGATTATTGCGATTAAACATCCCTACATAAAACATTAAAAAGCTGAATGAGTTTTTGATTTACAATACCTTCCGAATCGTTGTTTTTTTAGGTCCTCCAACAATGTGTCGATTTGGGAACCAATATGGGTACTAATTGCGCCTCGTTATTAGCTGACATTTTTGTATTCACATGAAGCAGAACTCGTTCTGGGAGCATGGTTTTGAGTATCAAAAAAGCTGAGAGGCATAAACACCATGCATAAATAAGGAAAACAGAATGTTTGTGGGTCTTTATCTCATTTATTCAGTATAACATCTAAATATGCCACAGATACAGCAGACTCCGTGGTTTATATTATTTGAGTGGATGTAGAATCACCATTATACATGTACTAGTATTTGAAGTAAACATATTTGTTGAAGAAAGTTACAAATATATCTGAAAATCGAGTTGAGGCCACAGCAAAAGCTTTAAAATTTTCAAGTTTTTTTTAATTATGCTACTCAGTTCAGCTACTAAAGGAATGCAATAAGCGCCAATCGGTATTTCAACTGTTTGTTGGAAGTACAACATAAATTTTGTCAATGAAAAACCTCGGTATCCTTTTTAATAATAACTTAAGAATACTTCTGTGTTAAATCAGAGGTAGGATATGGAGATAACGAACAGTATTCAGTATCAATTCAGTATCAAAGCCCATAAAACAATACAAAAAAGAAGCAGAGCAAACATGGACCTCCAAAACATCAGAGGTGGAATCAGGTGTAATGGAGGAGTGAGCATTCCCTGCCGACCGGTCACACCCGCCGTGTGCTCCATGTCATGATCGAAAAATAAGGGGAAAATCCGTCATCAATTCAATGTGTAAATAATGGCCTAACAAATAGTATGAAAACCGCCAGTCGTTTGACTCAATGATAAATTGTATTTCCTTACAAGATCATGGTATCGACCTTAGAACTTACGAAATGACAACATTAAACGAGACAGATGATATTCTTATTTCATCAACTTGTTTGTCAATAAATTTCCGCATTTTAGAAATTGTTCATACTTGTACGTAGAGCATACTCTTGCGTTTCGAATCAACTGAGATATATAAACTTCGTAAGTATATTGCTGCATAAGTAAGGGAAGTTGACAATTGAAAAGTTAGTCATCACGTCTTTTTTTTTCCAAATACAGGTGTCTTATCCAAATATGAAACAGCTGAGTCGGACTCTGTGTATCTTTTATCTCAATCTCACCTGGATATTCTTGTGTCATCAACATGTATGTCAATAATTTACCTCGTTTTAGAAATTGCTCATACGTAGAGCATGCTCTTGCGTATCGAATCAACTGAGAAATATAAACTCCATATTGAGGTGATGAAGGTATATTGCTGCATATAAGTAAGGGAAGGTGACGATAGAAAAGTTAAAGTCATCACTTTTATCAAAGAGCTTGGTGTAAGATTACCATTAACGTTTTCTTCAAGTAAAATATTCAAGTATGAAACAGATATGTCAGACTATGTGGTATCTTTTATCTCAAGCTCAGCAGGATATATCGTATCGACATAGGAATGGAAATTACCATTGATAATTGACAATACGTCGTCGATATATCTAAATGTCGAGTTGAAGGCCACAACAAGTATTTTCTTCTTTTCACGCATAAGATTGTGCGCAAATTCTGCTTCATTTAAATACAAAAATAGGTCTGCTAATAACGGGCGCAATTGGTATAAATGGGAATTCCAATAGATTGTTGGAAGGCCTGGTCTAATTTTTAACAATAAAATTACCATCAATAGCAATATTATGAATATATCTGATATCCGCTCTTGTTGAAGGAGTTGATAATGATATAAGATTTGATTTGAATCTGGTATTAGAGTTCCTGCTGGCTTGCTATCTGATGTTATGAAGTCCGGTTGAATTTAAGACTAGTGCTATTTATTTCTAAGTTTTAGTTACAGCTATCTTTCTCTAAACCTGAAACATGTGTTGGAAATTATCCCCCGCCATTTACAAAATTTAGCGTATGAACGAAATAAATTCCAATTTAAGTTTCCAACATGAAAAAAAAATTCTTCATCTGCAAAAGGCTATATAATGATCGGAAAGAAGGTGTTTTTTTTTACATAAAGCGTCTTAGTAATTGTGACAAATACAATGTGGTATCAATGGGCCAGTAGGATTCCGGACACATTGCAAGATTTAGTTGTATACATGGCTAGCAAGGATTACAAATGTTTATAACCCTTACGGAAACAGAAATGCACTTTTTATTGAAAAGAAAAAAAAATAAAACAATCATTTACAGGTACTACGCTGTATTGTCGTATCAGTGTTTTTATAAATTTAAAATGACTACAAAAAATATTATTGGCATAAATACAAATTGTAAATGGCTTAAAAAATGATATTGACATAAATATAAATTGTAAATGACTATAAAAATGATATTGATAAACGAGTAAATAAAAAAAATAATAAACACTTTGAGATATCGAAAAGTAACAATATGGATACACAAAAATGATTCAATGAAAGCTTTGGCACAAATATAAAACAGGACATTAATATCTATACAAATAAAACATAATTATGGTCAAATACTAATTGACTAGAGCAAAATAAATACAAAAAATATTCAAACATTTTTTGACATAGTACAAAATGTCATGTTGAGGATGATTTTAACAAATTAAGGTTCATAAAATATTATAAAATTTGAACTTACAATATTGCACCTTGAATCCATTTCACACTGGTGAAGATTTGAATCCTAATAAAAGTATTGCACTGTGTGATCAACTTATTCGTCCAGAGCATGAGGATTGATTCTTTGTTGAAGGTGTACTTCCGTACAACCGACAGCTATAGGTTCGATGACCTCTACAACCTCAGTACAGCTGGTCCTCCTTAGAACCGTCACATATCGATACACCTCCCGGCACGTCTTACGTGCACAGACGCTATCGTGCACACTGCACCTGCACGCACATTTGGCTTCGATGAATTCTCGTGGTACCCGATTCTCATCGACATTTTTGCGATAATACCATGGACAAGAAGCAGACTCTGCTACACTTAAATGAAAGCGTCCCCTTGGAGGAAATTTGACTTCTTCGCAGGTTGTTCGGTCGGAGTAGGCACTGTACTGTATGTTTATGAAGTTTGCGTCAATCGTATAAAGAGTTCCGACCCCGTACCGTATTCCATTGTTCCTCGGTACTATATATCTACTTTCTTTTTGAATGTCTTTTTCGCTTTTTGTGTACGAAAGAGATAATGGCTGATTGCATCTTATAACCATCGCTGAAGATAATGACAGCATAAAAAGTATCTACAAAATAACTGAATCATAAACGGATACTTATAATCTTATGATAGATTACCTAAATCTACAGATGTGTAAGATATATTTAAAGGAATTGTCGTTAATCAAAGCGATTAAAGCCGTCGAAATCGGAAAAAAAAAATCTGACGGATGTTAAATGCTTATTTAAAAAAACACATAAAAATTAATCACAGAAATCGCAGATGAATTTGATCTTGTTTATTACTCATTATCTCCTCTAAAAATTTGATCTTATTAGTTTTAGATAAATTATAGCTTTTTTCATTTATGTAAGGCTTATGTAACAAATCATACCAGTATTATAGTGCTTTTAGCCATAACAGGATCTGTAGACGATTTGATATGGTTACACATTCTATGAAAAATGTAGTTTTGTTCAGTCGAGAATGTTTAGCCTTCAGTCTAGCCCTCTGTACTATTTTATACCGAAGTTCTCAAAATTTCACGTCCGCTAAAAATAGTTAAAGGAGTTAGCAAAGAAATATATAAAAAGTTCATTTTTATTTATTAACCGGAAGGTATCGAAGTAAATCTACTGGCCACGTGTATTGTTTTACAGTTTTAGTAAAATGTAAGCGTTTCTCCAGTTTTTGCGGTATTCCCCGCTGAATGTGTTTACATGTATGACCATATTAAAGAGACGGTCGGAGTGGGGATGAATGAAATAACTTTTCTACAAATCTTTAAAATACTTTAATTGTTCGTAATTGAATGGCGTGGGATCGGCTTAAAAAATAAAACGTTTACACTTCCTTCTTTTGCGGTAGTGATTGAATTTAATCATTCTGCTGAATTTAAATTTCTTTGTTAAACTGGGGATCTGCAACCAGGAACGTTGTATCGGGGAGGGAAGGGTATGAGGGAGAATGCAACCATCCCCGATTTTTCAAAAAATAACTTTTTCTGTTGAAAATGGAATATGAAAGGCAACTTGGTCTATGACATGTTGTTACAGGGTAGTCAAATCGTCCCTTGGCACCATATTAGTTAAGCAGAAATTTATTTGTCTAAAGTAATGATCTCGATGCAATAAAATCATTTTTTAATTTAAGTATGCAATAAATGGATTAACAAATTGTTTAACTCTTTATTCATTGCCAGCATTTGCTGTACATGAAATTAATCAAGGAGTAATTGTATCTCTAGGTTTGCATACTTATCCTTTTTTAAAGAGAGTTTTTTAATATCAATATAAAAAGAAATAGTTTAAGAAAGACAATAGACATTTATTTTAGATAAAACACCCGTAGAATAAGAAAATTGCATTTTAATTATGCATGCGCCAGATTTCAAAGGGCATTTTTAAGAAAAAGAAACGCTTAATACTAGAAACTCAGTAAAGAAAGACTGATGTGATTGAAGAATATTAAGAAAGATTTCCTGACCATTTTCCTGTATAATCTATTGGAATTCTTTTTTGTCTTATGGCAAAATTGACGGTTTTTCTTACAGTGTACATGTATGCATTGAGTTTACAAAGAATATCTTAAGGACACTAATCAAGAATTTTATTCATTTTTTCAGATTGTATCTTTCTTAACGTACACATTTTAATTTTTCATTATTTCGATTTTTAGGGGGTTTAGCAAAACACATGAAAAATATACGAATATAATAATGCGCATTCTCTTAATGTATTTGTAAAATAATTTTTAAAAATAGCTTTACCGACAATTATTCATTAGTTTTCCTTCGTGATACAAGGAACAAATATTTTAGGGGAATTCAAACATAAAATTCGTATAATTGCTGAAATTCACTTCATACCAGATGAAATAAAGATGAAAACTAAATGGTGTCTATTTTTTTAATCAAAAATTTACAGGAAGAATATCAGCCTTTGAAGTAAAACGATTTTTCATCTGTACTTTTTGTTTTTACCAAATTGTTCCTTTTTCAACAAAATAAAGTGACATAAGAATAACGGCATGAAAAAAATCTTTCAAGCAGAAAAATATTTTAGAATAAGAGGAATAGATTCAGTATCATTGAATCAAACTCCCTATAAGAAATTGATTGCATGATTGATTCACAGTAGTAAAACATTTATTAAATGGAACAAGTCAGATGAAATGTACATAATACCTGAATTATTACCGATATGAACCCAGAAGTGATCGGAATTTAAAGACAGCGACATTTTACAGGTTCATTTCATTCTATAATAACATAACAACTCAATAACTTCCAACATTCAAAGAATTAAAATCCTTCACGGATATATCTGCCAACAAACAGAGCACGTTTCCGTATAAATCGTTTTGTACGCCGATCATTCAAAAGGATATGACAATGTAATATGTCTCTTAATTAAATTCGAATTTAGCATTCTATATCACAAGCTACAAATTTTCTATGGTATATCATGGATATATTTATTCTTCTCCTTGGAATTGTCATTTTTGAAAACACCGTAAGGTTTGTAGAAATGTTCCTCGCCATTCAAGTTCTAAATAGATTAAGGGGGTATTTTTTGTGACTCTTTATTCTTAAAATATTGAACTCGTAATAAGATAGTACATGGTGTTTCATATATAATACATGTCACGCGTCTAAATGGACACAATTTGAATATTAAGCATGATTTCAAAAAATACCAAAACACCATAAACACGGATATTGATCTAAAATTATGATATTGCAAAACAATCGGGAAAATTCTACCATGAAGTCACTGATGATGTAATCAGTGATAGCATGATTTCGGCTGTTCTCAAACTGTACAACTTGCAACAATTTTTTTTTGAAATTGTTAAACTTTACTATAATCACGATGCCCTAATGTGATGGAAAAAATATTCAGATTAGAAAGAACTTTCTAGTTTTCAATTGTTAATGATAATTAAGAAATTTGAACAAAAATATAATGTAAGATGAAAGATACAAGTAATTACTTCCCCCGCCAAAAAAAATCTTGAGCAGAAGAAAACAGAAGAAAACAAGTGAATTCAATCACCGAAGACATGAATAAAGTCAGTTAAAATGGTCTTTAGAAGATGGAAAATATAAATAAAAGTGTTTCAAGTGAATTACAAATGTGTAAGTTGAACTGGGTGTGACTGCATACAAGATTCAGTTTCAACAATGCAGCATCTAGAACCAATTCACGTTAAGCATCGGTTGGAGTTTGCTGAATTGATTGAAAGAAGTGGACAACAACACATATTAGTGGGACTGAAATGGAACACTCTTTAACAGTTAAAAATAATAAACATGCACTTTGGGGAGCTAAAAGCAAGATATTAACCAACAAATAAGTACCGGTATATAATGAAACATACAAAGCGGTGGTAAGAAATTTGTGTACAACCGTCTCCATGTCATATAGAACAATAATTAGGTAAACACTCAAAGTATAGCATTTAAGAAAATTGTTGCCATAGAAACTGAAATAGGGAAAAGTGTATACTTCTAACTTAAAAATGTACGGTCAGTTTAAATCAAAATATGTTAATTGCCAAAGATATTGTAAATTATATGAACAAAGACTTTGAATTCCAGATGCCTAAAACATTCAATTCCCATTACGAAACGTCCGAAATCGTCATGTCCCCTTCCCTAAGCTCAATATCATCAAACCTGGATGAAAGTTCTGAATGATAAGTCGAGGAAGAGAACTCAAGTTTAAAAGGCAAGTAGTAGTAAACGGAAGGGGAATCCAATGACCTTGACCATCAGATGATGTAACGAAAAGCCTGATCCGATTTAACACACTCTGAATCATCTAGATATTTATATAACTATTTATAGAGAAATCCCATGGATGAAGACCTTTACTGAATAAGTATATCTGTCAGTGTCAAAGTTTACAGATAAAAAATGTTTGTTTATTTTTATTATCATAACTTTTTTATAATGTGCCAAACATCTGGCTTTGTGAACTTTAATTTAAATTCAAAATTATTTGTAACGGTTCCTATTTACTATCAGCATTGAATTTCAGTGAGATTTAAAAGTCCGGAAATAATTGTCATTTAATAGCTTATTCCGTCCAATGATAATTTTTACTTCACTAGACATTTATATTTTCTTTATAACAAAGTAGGAAGGGATAGATCTAGAGTTTTAACTTCCTAACACTGCACCATAAGATTTCATCAGTCTAACTCCTAACAGTGAACCATCAGAGGTCATCAATCTTACCAAATGCATATATACAAAAAATGGAGATGTGTAAGCGGATGGTCCATCTGCAATGCCTTAAAGCAAAAAAAAAATTATGATCTAAAAAAAATTAAATCCCTATCAAAGAAGGGGAATTCAAGTGTACAGTAGACAGAAAAATTCCAATGTGCATAAACCTAAGCATTTTAAATGCAACTAATCTAGAATTAAGAAGTGTAAGATATTGAGATAACGAACAGTATTCAGTATCATAGTCCATGAAGCAAAACAAAATAGGAGCAGAGCACCAAAACATCAGAGGTGTGATCAGGTGCCATGGAGGAGTGGGCAGTCCCTGCCGACCGGTCACACCCGCCGTGTGCCCCTTGCCATGATCGGGAAATAACGGAAAAATCCGTCGTCAATTCAGCGTATAAAAAATGGACTAACAATTAGTATCTAAAACATCAGTCAGCATTTGACTCAATGATAAAATGTATTTGCTGACAAGATCATTAAATCGACCATGGAACTTACAAAAGGATGACTTTAAACGAGACTGTCGATATTTTTGTTTCATCAATCTGTTTTTCAATAATTTACCTCGTTTTAAAAATTGTTCATACGTAGAACATGCTCTAGCGTATAAAATCAACTGAGATATATAAACTCCGTATGCAGGTGATGAAGATATATTGCTGCATAAGTAAGGGAAGTTGACGATAGAAAAGTTAAAGTCATCACATTTATCATAGAGTAAATAATCCAAGTATGGAACAGATGTGTCAAGTCAGACTCTGTGGTATCTTTTATCTCAGGCTCACCAAGATATATTGTATCTACATAGGAATTGAAATTACCATTGTAAATTGTCAATACGTCGATATATCTAAATGTCGAGCTGAAGACCGCAAGTGATTTCTTCTTTTGTACAAATTCTGTTTCACATGAATACAAAAATAGGTCCGCTTATAACGGAGCGCAACTGGAACCCATGGGAATTCCAATAGATTGTGGGAAGACCTTGTCTCCAAAACCACATAGATATTGTCAGTTAGAAACTCAAGCATCTATTTGATGTCAACTTCAGAGTACTTGTGTTTGCAATCAGAATGTGTTTCAAAAAGATAATTTTGCGAATGACCAATGACAAGGTAATATAAGTAAATTTACGAGTGCCATTTTTATTGAAAAAGCAGAAACAAATGATAAAAAAAGCCTGGACCTTTATTTATCGTGGGGAATGGTTGTATATAGAGTTGAAAAGTCGTAAGTTTTTAAGCTGTTGATTTTTTGTAAAATCTTGTGATTTCAAATCGTTCAAAAGTTTCTTGGAGTTTATGAGTATCCGCATCTGATTCACAAAACCTTTGAATATGTTGTTGCACAGTACTCTTGAAGTTTTCCTTCACTACTGTCAATATCTGGTGAGGAGTAACGAAAGAGGTTTGGTTGCACATTTACAGGAACCCGCAATGTTTCTTTGTAAGGATTCTCTTGAAATTTCGGAATCCAATATATATATATGGTACTCCAAATTCATTTTTG